GTTACATGCATTATCTTCTTTTGTGCTCACGTCAGTTCTGAAAGAACCCTGCTGCTCCCATTTCTGAGAGGGAGACACTTTGTCTTGCCGGGGTTAGATCAATTGGCAGGTGGTCCCGTGGAGACTTTGTGGTTAAGCCAGGGTCTGAACATCGGCGTGTCTACTGCAAAGGCCGTGCTTGTTCTGCAGCTATGGGCTGCCACCCTGGGCCCCTTGTTCTGGGTGGACTAGGAGCTAGCATGGTATGGGGCAGACACTGAAAGAGCTGGTTCTGATTCTGTCTGTGCCACATACAAACTGGGTGAGACCTTAAGCAAGTCATTTCAGGTAGCAGTTCGCTGTAAAGGTTAAATGAGAGGAGTCTCTCCACCAAAACGTAAGCCTGAAGGCTGTTGGCTGTTTCGTCAAAATCATCTCCCCTGTGCCTAGAACAGTGCAGGGAAAGAGGCGATGGCCAATGGAAGTTGGTTGAATGGGTGGATATATGGGCAGATGGATGGATGGATGGATGGATGAATGGATGGGTGCATGGATGGAGGGACAAACAGATGATGGATGGATGGATGGACGGATCGAAGTAAATGCTAGGCCTAGTGCCTGGACCACAACGAGCACTGGACAAACGGAGGTCTCGTCCTGTCCCTGTCCCTGTCCCTGTCCCTGTCCCANTCCTGTCCCTGTCCCTGTCCCTGTCCCGCACTGCAGCGCAGAGCCTAGAACAGGAGCGGGGATGTTATGAGAGCCTCCACCTTACCGCGGCCCCACCCCGTGCTCGGGGCTAAGTGCTGACGCTGGGCCAGGGCCTCTCGAAAAGCCACCTCTGCCTGAGTCGCACTGTGAAGTTTCTGCCAGGTCCAGTTGCCGTGGAAACTCCCCCGATCCCTGTGGCTTCTCCACTGTCGCCCAGCCTGACGGGAGGTTCCCCGGCTGCTTTCTGCTCCCTGGACTTCAGAGCCCACGGCGGCGGCCCGGGGCGCGGTTTGTCCTCCGTCTGCCTCCCGCTCTGTCCGTTTTCTGATCACTCTCCCTTCACTCTCCAGCCTTCTTGTGTTTCATTTCTGTAAAGAGTAATGCAGTTCCTAGTACGTTCTGAGAACGGGCTGGACAAAGGGGAAGGTAAGTCCTGGCTTTTGCCACCATGATGAGGTAAATACCATTGTCGGGCCTGGAAATGGCCACTTACCAGGAGCCACCCGTGTGCCAGCCACTGCCTGAGGCACTGGACATCTGCTGTCTCATGCAGTTCTTACAGCTCCTTTTGAAGCATACAGTCATTGTATTCCTTCCTGTCTTCTAGGTGAGAAAACTGAGGGTCATTAGCTAATGTGACTTCCCTCCCACCCCACTGACTCTTAAAGACCCCGGATTCCTGTGAAGGTTAAGTGACAGGGGTGCAGCTAACCCAGCAGGAGGCCAGGGAGACAGTAGAAGCCACTTCAGGCCTGCGCCTCAGCTCTCCCCCGCTTTGGAAATGGGCCCCGTGGGCCCCCCGGAGCCTCGGCGGCAGGCCTGGTGGCCGGTTAACTAGCGAAAGGAATGGCTTGACCACGCCCGTGTCTGCGGCTGTGCCGGGCAGGTACGAGAGGCCTTCTCGGAGATGCGGGTGTCCATCCAGAGCACCCATCTCACAGATGCCGGGAGCTTCTAACTGCATCTCACCTCCGTCTGCACCTGGCTTTCCTCCCAAGAACTTGTTCATGCTGGACTCACCCCAATACCTTCTTCCCCGCAGAACAGGCTCCGTAGACTCTAGAGTGGAAAGTCCATGCTGCTGCTGCTGCTATTTGGGGCTTCTGTTAAATAGCTAGGCTCAGGGTAATATGTGGACATTTTAGGGAAAGACCTGTGCAAGGCACCAACCCCCGGCCTGTGCTCTTTCTAGGAGAAAACGCTGGTGTTAGCTTGCCGTGCTATAGTTACTAAAATGTTAATACTGTCTGAGTTCGACATAGCACCTCCTCTCGTGGCTCACAGATGAGAGAGAAAATGTGTTTCCTTTTTTTGTGGGGTCATTTTAGGTTTAGACATTCTTCATCTCCTGACACCGGAACCATCTTTTTTATTTCATCTGCTATTTCCTTTAACAAATATAATGACCACAAATGTAAGAATAGTCTCAACCATGAGTTATGCATTGTCCTAGGTCGGGCAGTAAAGATAAGGATCCTGTTCTTAAAGGAAGCAGCTCTTTTAAGTCCATTGCAGGCCATGATTTTGGAGCGACAGACGCGAGAAAGGTGAATAGGGGATCCCTTCCCCAAAGCAGCTCACTGTTTATTAAGAAAAATAGATTTTCATACAAAAAGTCGCCAGTGGGCTGTCACATGGGCTCTTGTGCCTTTAGGACCCATCGGTCTGGCAGTGTTGGTTGGTTAGGGCTGGCTTGCCACTGTGTCTGTCTGCACAGCAACTGTATCCGGCTGCTAATTTTGTTACTGTTACCCCTGGAAATTAGGATGCATTTACTGAGATTCTATCATGTGCTGGGCACTGTGCTGAGCTTTGGATAACAACAGTGAGCAAAGGACACAGTGCCCACCCTCAAGGAGCTCCCCATCCACTCACTAGGCTCTAGTGTTTGAATAAGACATTTCAGGAAATACATCAAATGTAGACAGTTTGTCTGCCCTACAGGGAGAGGAACTTATATTTATTATTAATCTCAATGAGTGATGGGAGGCAAGGAAACAAGTGGAACTGCATGCAAAAGAAAGAGCTTCTGTGTTCATATTAGCAGGATGTTGGTGTTGATTGGGGTGGTCCCGTAGTGACGCAGGCCGGCCAGCACCCGGGCCAGGTGGGAGAGGGCAACGGGGGGCCTGAGGGTAAGGAGCCAGGAAAAGTTTCAGACGCCAGGCTAACGAGCATGGACCCATCCTCTACTGCGATGCCGTGGAGCAGCTCCCGGGGTCGCCGCGGGCATCGTGATGGGATGATGCGCCTGCACCCCCCCAACCCACACGCAGACACACAGCAGACGAGGTGAGAGGAGAGGGGAAAATGCTCAGGACATAAAATAAGTAAGACTTGCATGGCTGTTTAGATGCTGTAAAAGAGGGGGACAGGAGATCGAAAGATGGCATCTAGGTTTCTGAGCAGTTTAAGTGGGGGTACTTTATTATTATTTTTAATCTTCACTCAAGGATATTTTTTCCATTGCTTTTTCAGAGAGAGTGCACGGGGGGG